ATGTAGCACGGTGCTGGCTGTTATTGTAAGCTCAAATCGTGCCCTTATCTTTCGCCAGGACTGTTACATTACACAACATTAAATTAATCTCCCCATCGCCCCAGGCAGCTCTGTAAAGACAACGCTCAGCTAACTAAGCAATGTCAGGAAACAAAGCAACTGTTGTAATATCTGACCCAGAGACAAAAGCCCACATTTACCTTTAATAGTGCTGTTATCAGTATGACAGCACCACTACTGCTGCCTCCCACCTACGACTACACGACAGCAAGTCCTCAGCTGCTTCAGCTTGCACCAGGACACACCATATTGCTGTATGCATCCATTTACTCCCACCTCAGCTCCCATTTCATCCTTCTTATCAATAAATACCATCCCAGGGATCATTTACAACAAAGCCACAGTCTTCATTTTCTTCTGCATTACAGAGATGAGCATGCTGGATTTTCATTCAAAGCTCCCTTAGAAATGACAGCCACTTCAGATGCAAAGTTTAAATTTGGAAATTAAATCATGTATTGCCACTATTACACTCACACAGCTACACAGATTCTTAAAGAGATCAGAGAATCAAAAGCAGGACCAATTCAAATATATTTTTAGTTAATATGGTGCTGCTTCCAGCTGCTACCCATAGAGAGCTATAGGGTCTGTGTTAATGCTGCTTCATCATCAAAGTGAGGCACACAGGTTTTGAACTGCAGGTGAAGTTAAGAGTGTGTAAGTGAAAATACTGTGGAAAAAGTCACTGCTTCAGCTACTCTGAAACCATGGCTGTTCTTTTGTTTGCATTAGAGTGTTTGCAGTTCTCTCCTCCCCTCTCCCATTCTTCTGTGGGTTTCTGAAAGGGAAGAAACACAAACACATATACAAGCATGGAAATAAAGAACCAGTTCTAAATTAAAGACAAATACAAAACATACACATCTCAGCTCACACCACCTAGTATAGATGCTTGTTTTAGTGGTGCAAATAAATCAAGATATAAAGTGACTAAAGGCTCAGAATCCCCAATAAATTTCTAGCATCAGGTGTCTCAGGATGCACCACTCTGTCCACCAAAGATATATTGCAGGTCAAATCATCTTTTTATAACAGAGTTGGATCTTGCACTACTCGGTGATGTTGCATTACAGTGGATGAGATTAAGATTTTTTCAGACTCCAAAATGAAAGGCAAAAGGCATATTAAATCACTTAAGCTAGAAAAGAAAAGACTCCTCCAGGACTGGCAGGCTCTGATTTACACTACAATTGTAATCACCACTCATGCTTCACCGTGTAAGCATCAGGAATCAGACACCCTTGGGATACCATCAGCTCACCTATTTGTTTTCCTCAATTTTACTTCACACCCCCCATCTCCCAGAGTAAAGAGTTAAACACCCATCAGATTATATCACTTATTATGTCCTCCCAACACTGTGTCAGTTGAAGCTAATGATTCCACCAGATAAAAAGACCTAAGGATTCTCTTGTACTAAAAATGCTCCAGCAGGGCAAAGAGGGCAGGCAAAAAAATACAGTAATCCCCAGAGAACAGGGTACTTCAGCTACCTAAATACTGAATATCTGAAGAAATTTGTTGTAACTGTGCTAGACCTTTTACATTCTAGATTTTTGTCAGGCACTCTCAGAAACAGAGGGTAAATAAAGACGTACATATTTTCCCCATACTGTTCCACATGCCCATGGCCCATCTCCTGTAATTCACCCCACACAGAGGCTTCAGTTCATTCTGATCAGATGTTTGGGCAGATCTGAACCTTCCTTAGGAGAGAGAAAAATCACAAAGGTTATCTTCCCCCAAACAGCTCCTAAGAAAATAGCACAGTTGTCCTTACTATCAGTAGTCCCAGGAGCTTTGATTCACCACTTCTCACAGAAGTTTCTATAATAAAGCCCATTTCTCACATGTGCTCCAAGTCTCCTCCAACCTGTCCATTCCCACCCAGCATTCTCGTCTGGGAAGTTCTGGAATTAAATCTCCATGTTCTGACAAATAACCTTCACTGTCTCCAAATAACAGAAACACAGTAAGCCTTGGAAACTGAAACATAAATGTGTCACTTGATCAACATCTTTCCTGATCATTCTGAAATAGTCAAAAAAATATTTCAATTTGTGGTCATACAAGATGTTGTCTGTTACTTGCTGCAAAATCACCTGCTTTATTTTTCCACTTAGAATTGTCAAACACTGTTTTAAGAAGAAAAAAATAGAGAAGATAAATACCATATACAGTTCTACTGCATCTTTCTCTGCTTGCCCTTTACTACTTTGGAACTGGGATGCATAGCAAAGGTAAAAAAAAAATGCTTCTTTCTAGGCATCAAGGAAGCTTTGCCAAAAGGTTCTTCACATCAACAGGAATACAACATAACTCTCAATAAAAAAAAGGATTATAGAAAAGTTAAAAGGATGCATTATTTCAGCATAAATTCTACATGTTGTCTCAGTTACCTCTTCCTCCAAGGACATTCTTTTTCCTCACAGAAGGTTAAGGGGGTCTATCTACGAGCTGATAGCTGTCAGAGGAACTTAAGCTGTATAAAGACTGATATCTCACTTGCCAGACAGATTTCATTACTTAGCGGGGAAAAAAAAAAAAAAAAAAAAAAAAAAAAAAAAAAAAAAAAAGAAAGTAGTACTGCAAGGCTTCCTGGCCAGCTCCACACAAAGAACCGCTTCGCACACGCACACCGCAACTTTTAAGGAATACAAGCAGGAAAGCGCACTGGGTTATTTGAACACAACCTGAGGGAGGGATGGACAGGGCATCCCTCACGGAGGGCACCGAGGCTCCCCCAGAGACGGCGCTGTCCCTCCCCGTCCTCCCCGCAGCCCGGCCCGGGACCGGCACCCACCGCCGAGCCAGTTGGAGGAGATGTTCTGCAGCATGGTGAAGGGCACGCAGAAGAAGGCGATGAAGAGGTCGCTGAGCGCCAGGGAGCAGATGAAGATGTTGGTGACGGTCCTCATGGCTTTGCTGCGGGTCACCACGTAGAGCACCAGGCAGTTACCGAAGAGCGCCAGGGCGAAGATGAGAACGCAGATGAGGACGAAGGCGACCTTAGTGCGCCCCGGCAACTCCGGGATGTACACCAGCGGCTGCAGCCCGTAGAGAGCAATGAACTGCTCCCGCGTCACGTTGTTGTCCCGCAGGAGCTGCGCGAACTGCTCCGGGGTGATGTTCAGGGACCGCATGGCGCTCGCTCGGGGACTGACACCCCCCTTCAGCCACCTCAGCGCCGCCGCCCGCGCCCCGCCATGGCAGGACCACTGCCCCTCCGGCGCTCGGCCCGGCCGGACCGCGCGGTGCGGCGGCGGCGAAGGGAGAGCACAGGGCTGGGAGCAGCCCACGGGGCGGCGGCGAAGGGAGAGCACAGGGCTGGGAGCAGCCCGCGGGCGGCGGCGGAGAAGGGAGAGCACAGGGCTGGGAGCAGCCCGCGGGCGGCGGCGGAGATGGGAGAGCACAAACTTGGAGCGGCGACGCCGCCCGCGGCCGGGGGGGGGGCGGCAGCCAATGAGCGCCGGGCGCGCGCCCGCCCCGGCCCCGGCGCTGTGGAGAGGGACGGGCGCGAGGTGGCCGCTGTGGGGAGGGAGCGCGCGGGGACCCCCTCAGATCGTCGCCCCTCAGAGCGCTGGGAGCCCCCTCAGAGCGCCGCTGCTCTCTCAGCCCCTCACACCTCTGGGAGCCCCCTCAGAGCGCCGCTGCTCCCTCAGCCCCTCACACCTCTGGGAGCCCCCTCACAGCGCCGCTGCTCTCTCACAGAGCCCCTCACAACGCTGGGAACCCCTCAAAGCGCCGCTGCTCTCTCAGCCCCTCACAGGGCTGGGAGCCCCCTTAGAGCGCCGCTGCTCCCTCAGCCCCTCACACCTGTGGGATCCCCTCAGAGTGCCGCTGCTCTCTCAGCCCCTCACAGCTCTGGGAGTCCCTCAGAGCTGCTCCTCAAAGCGCCGGGACTCCTTCACAATTGTCCCTCACAGCGCTGGGAACCCCTCACCGGTGTCTCCCCAGCCCAGGCTCGAAATGCCCAAGGTAGGTGCTGAAACTCCCGAACCAACCTATCCTCACGTTGGGATCAGGCTGGGAGGGAAAGGAAGGATGATGCTGTGAAGAACGTGGTGTGAGGGGAGGCTCATCCCACCCACGGCAGGTCAGGCTGCTGCTGGCTCATGCCCAGCCCAAACGATTTTAGCACAGGGATTTTATCTGCCCCTTTGTGCCAACACCACTGCAGGCCCTCCCCAAAGCTCAAAGAGAAAAGCAGTTTTCAAAACTTCACCGAGAGGACAGGAGGCTCCTGAAGACCCCTTTCCCAGCAGTACAAGCACTCCTGCCGGAGGAGATGAGACCAAATTCCATCCCACACAACCTGGTAAGGCTACTCAGGTAAGGTCATGGAGGCCGCCAAGGTGCACTCAGCTAACTGGCTGCAAAAAAATGCTTCTACAGTTTAAACATGGATAATAATGACAGTTAAGGTCTAACAGAGGGACCGAGTTGAAAATATGCATTTATTTCTCTTCCAGCCTAATTTAAATTTCCCAGCACGGCTTTCTTACTAACACAGGCAATATCCCCTTTGTACAATATTACGTTGAATAGCAATGACTTGCTTTAATCAGTCACATAAGAAATCACCAAAAACTATACAAAAACAATATGGAAGCTGTTCCCGGCAACAATTCCCACCCCCACAGAGATCGATGTTTCATAGGGAAACCACATCACCAGGGAGAATGCTGCAAAATTGTACATAACTTTATCTGTACAAGGGAACTCTAGAAAAGAATGAAGAAAAGTCTAGCAAAAGCTGTCTTTTTATAGAGTTTCTTGCTTGCCAAGGAAAATTGGAAAAGAGCTCACCACCAATTCATTTTCAGCAAAATAAATACGCTCAACGAGACCAAAGATATTTTGTGTCATTTTTGGGAAAAAAAAAAAAATCTGTTAAGCAGAAATCAATGGAGAGAAATTCCAATGCCTGCACTAACCTGTGCTGCTCCAGTCCTCCAAGTGCTGACAACCTTCTCTTAAGGGGTGTAGGTCCATGGCAAAGACTGTCTTTATTATCCCATGGTGAGAGGAGATGGCACTTTTTTTTGGTGCAGTTTCCCACCTGAGAACAATGTCATCAGGCTCCCTCTTTAACAGGCTTCCTAAGGCTTGTTCTGGAAGGCAAATGCTCATTAGACTCACTTAGATACTGACAGCCCCTTTTGCATTCCCTTAGGCCTGCCTTGTTGGCTAGAAAAGCTTGGTCTTTTATTCCTATAATGATCCTGCTGAGCTTATGCTCAGTATCACACAGACAGACTTCTTGGGAGATCAATTTTCCCAGCACCTTCCCTTGAACTATCCATTAAGTACACCAGGTACAGCCTGAAGCCACATTCGTGTCCTCTGTTCACACATCCTTTCCTGTTCCTCTTTTTCCTCTTCCCCTCCACTTGGTGCTGGTAACAGAAACTTTATTTAGGAGCTCTTCTATTAACAAACAAGCCAGACGTGTTTTCAGCAGATTTCATTCCTATTATTGATAAAGGGCCAAACCTGGAGGCCAGTCTGTCATCGTGGACTGCTGTGTTTTGTTGTTCATTGAAAAAAGCATCCAAGTGTATCAGGAACAAATAAATGGGAATAAGCTCTCACCTAAATACTGCAGATATAGTCTGGGTTTATGGTTAGCATGGACATTTGTTTTTTCATATATCCTTATTTTATTATTATGATTGCTCATTACAAGTAATCAAACAGCATTAAAAATGAACAACATCAACAATGGTTATATGGTACTGCAATAACAATGGTTATTCCACAGAATATAAACAAATCTTGAAGCTGTAGGCAATGGAAGGGTGCCATTGCATCTAGTGCAGATTTAGCTGGGCTTTTTGCATACAAAGAGAGGCACAATGCAGATCATTTTACAGATAATTTTTCTTGTCAATACTTACCTACGTGCAGAAGATAAATGTAGGATTTACAGAAACTATAATTTTCTTTGAGCATTATCCATCCTCTCAGCTGAAACAATAAGAGCAGAGACATCATACAGGTTGTAGGGCAAATCACTAGTAACTGTATTTCCCAGCTCCTTGACTGGGATGAAATTGTATTTGGAGTTAAAAGGGTTGAGTTACAACAGGTGACCTCATCTCAAACCTGTTGAAATTACTGAAATGACTTCTCTGCTTCCCTGGGCTACAAATAATTGGCAGGTAATGAAAAATGTTTACTCTTCAGAGAACTCGTGTTCTGCCATATCCTGCACCCCACTGCTCCAGCTCCTGCTGCTTCCTGCAGCCACAAAGAGCCACGTGAGGCTGCCCTGACTCCCCACACAGTGAAATCATGCAAACGTGTTTTAACCACAACTGGAAAAACTTTTTATCTTAACCAAAAAAGGTATAAAACGGCTTTGTGAAAAAAAAGGGGTTTTTCTGTAATTGACATTCTGAATTCAACGATATGAGCAACTTCTCTGCAGCCTTGCTCACCAAAATATGTACAAACATACATGCCTTGCTTTGTCCTGCATGACTGCTTTCAGATTTTAAGGATGATTTTTCCCGGTTATTATCAGCAACCTCCAAATTCACTTCTGGTACCATCCAAGTCTATGGAGTTCTGATATTTGCATCGACAGGACATGGGTCATGCCCTTACATCATCTTGGCAATAACAAATTCATCTCTGGCCTAAATTTTTAGTAGCTTTTACATAATAAATTACAAGGCATTGTTCTATTCTGTTGAGATTTATTAAACTGATGCATTTACAAATATAAAACAGGGTTTGAAAAAGCCCAAAATCTTCTAGTAAATAATTGATTATATGGAAATAATGCATTTCTCAATATTCTTAACTGAAAAAAATAAGCCTCCTACTAATTCTACTAATTAAGTGGCTAGATATATTTTATTTCTCTGTCTAGAATCCCAGTGGAAAAAAAATTGCAACTTGAACAGAGATCAAATCTTGGGTAATTCTCCTTTGGCTTCAGAAGGATTGTGTATTCTTTGGTCACAAACTGACAGGTTGATAAGCACAGCAAGCTGTGAAATGTGTGTCCTACCACATTGCACTCTTGTCAAAAACCACTCATGGCTTTGTGCCACCTTATGCTATTTTGTTTTTTTGCCTACGTGGTTTATCTGCATGATACTTCCTTCTCATTCAAAAGAGACTGGATTTTTTGCAGACTGGGAAATCCTGTCAGTCAGTGAGTAACCTTTTCTCCTACAGAGAGGAAAGAAGCTGTACTTGCACTCTGTAACCCTTCTAACAGCACACAGAGATCCATGTCTGGCAGCTGTGAAAAAAGGGGTGACAACAAAAACCGATGTGCCTTCATAGTTTTGCTAAATTTTGACAACCGAGCATCAAGTTTGTATAAACTGTGAACAGGAGACATTTGGAACACTGACAAAGCATATACTTACTGTATAATCCTAAACCAGAAATTTTAAAACACATTTTTTCCCCTTCCAAATCTCTACTCATACTGTCTAGTTCAGGCAAAAGAGATGGCAAAACCAACAAAGAATCCCTTTCCTCCTCCTCTTTCTTTCCTTTGACAACTCAAAACACTTTGGAAGAGACAATTCAGATCCACGTTACCAACTTTGAAACTAATGCAACTAATGATTAGTAAACCTTCCTGGCCTTGGATCCTTTGGTAGATACATTGGGCATGAACTCCCCTCTAATCCAGATCAGTACCACAGGTTTTAGGATGATTCTTTAAAGCAATGGAACAGCTTACCATCATCATTCAGTAATTTTAGACTAAGTCTGTAGAAATAGAGTGGCTCTTAAAATTGTCAAGGCAGCCTCTGAAACATAAATTTAGATAAAGCATTGCTGTTGTTGAGAATATATGTTTGGAGAAAGCACTGAGGCCAAAACTTCAACTTTAGATTTACATGCTTTTATACACTTGGCTAAACTGTAAATTATCTTGGAAAACAGAAAACTCGACACTAATTGGACTAGATTCTTACTTGGTATCTAAGGATACAGCTCAAAGATGGTCTTATCAGTGTATACTTAATTTTGCCTATTGTCTCATCTTCGTGCATGCTTTACTTTCCATCATTTGTGGAGACAGGCAGCTTCCACAAAATAATATTTATGAAGAGAAGCATCAATCCCTAAAGCAGAGTAGCACACAGTTGCAAAATATGTTGGAGTGGCTGAACAGAAAATAAATTTTGTTAACTTAGCTTTTGTTAACATTGGTTTAAGTGCTAATGTTTTTTCTCCCACTGTGGGGCTGTGCTGATAAATATTCCTGACTGCTAATCTTTATTCTTGTGAAGCCTCGTGCATCTGCACCTCTGGATTTAGGGATCCTCACTGAGCTTTATTACCCAGCCCCTTCCATCAGTGATATTAATGCACAGAGCGTGCATGGCATGGTGGAGGACACAAACCTCACAGCCCCACAGAGCCTGCTGGTCGTACTTGATACAGCAATTAAATGACCAAGAACTGCATGCACGAACTGGTCTTTGTTTAACCTCACCAGGCTGCAGGTACTCCAATAATTGCCCGTGGGACCCTGCCCCTGTGACACCAGTGAAGAATTAACACAGAGACTACCTTGATGTCTCAGAGAAAAAGCAGCCACCCAGCCCACTGCAGGCTCTTACTCACCCAAGCCAAGACTCTGTTGCACAGGCTGTTCTGACATTATTTGATTTACAGTTTCTATCCCAAACTGTACAGCTGGCACAGCATTGGTCCATTGAGCAAGAGGCTTTTATAATCACCTTGAGAAATTGTTCCCTTCCCTCCAAAGAAGCACATTTCTCATAGTTCCTGGTGCATGTGACACTTACCTCCACTTATTCTTACCCCACCTTCTGACAACCTTCCCTTGGGCTCCTTCCTTGGGTTTTCTTCCTACTGCAAATGAATACTTTTTTTAACAAAGTCTGTGCTGGACTAGGACTTATTCTTTCAGACACTTTGACTCTTCCTGCCAGTATTTAGTGAACTTGTAGAATCAAAAATAAGCTGCAGCAAGCACAATACCCAAAGGAAATAATTTAATATACTTGCTTTTTTAATTTCCTTCCTTTTCTCCCCTGTTTCTGTTCCTCATGCAAATGAAATAAAAAAGTTATCAAAAATTCCACGACTTAAAAAATAAAATTATGTTATATAAAATATTTAACTTGTGAAGTTTTGGGGTTCTTTTGAAGAGTGAGTTTAATTTTTAAAAATTAGCTAGTGATGATGTGCAAGTACCAAAACACTAAGCCATATATTGATTGGGTTTTTAAGTTCCTTCCTGGTGCTGAGCAGCAGTTCATCCATCCTCAATTCATGAATTTTTTCCATTTCCATAGACAATTCCAATTGGTATTCTCTTTTATTCACATACACAGAAAACCAGCTGTTTTTTGCCACCACTTATCAACAGTTTGCCTAGATATTAAATTAAATTTCCATATCTTGTGATTTAATACCAAGTCTAAACCCTGGCCCAGTCCCATTTGTTAGGGATAGTCACAAGTCCCAGAACAAGCAGTGTTCTGCCTGGCCAGCCAAAAATCTATTTCTGTAGTTCTCAGAGCATCAGGAGACAATGGCAACAGCATCAGGATGCAAATATCTTCACTCCTTGCAGCCCTCACGTAATTTTCTTTTCTTTCAATGATTTCCAGAAGACTTGTACCCAAAAATCGGTTCTAAACCTCCTATAAATCTCATTTGCACTTACAGAGAAAGGTTTGCAAGTGCAACTCTTTTCTTTCATCCAGAATCTTTCAGCTCCAAAGATATTGGGAAGTCTGAGAACCCCTTGCTTGTTCTGTCACCTTAAGTAACTGTTTTTGTAGTAATTTTTAAGACTTCGGTTGACTGTCACACAAAGCCTTACCTAATTGTAAAAGGCCAATTGCCTGGCACAGCTTTTAACTGTTAGCATTCTATTTATCTTGCACCAGAATTAATTCCCCATCTAAGAGCAGACACAGTCATTTCCACATTTTCATTCAAGAAATAAAATATAACAGTAACTTCATTTTCTGCTAGTCCAATTCTCATTTTCTTCCTTTCGACTGATGCTAGTACCCAGCTTTGCCATTTACAAAATATGGTGTTAAATGTCTGTTACTGCAGTGACCTGAATCTTTTGCTTCTCAAGTAAAGACCTACTTATCACAAAAAACCTGATTCATTTGTAGATGTCAACTCAAAATTGAGGGAAGTCTTTGGATCTAAGCCTCCACAGGAACATGCAGAACATGGTGTTAAAAAGATTGAAAAAGGAAGGTGCTCCATTTTGGAAAAAAAAGCACTTATGAGAATTGTTATTAGCATTTAAAATTTAAGTCGTGGCCTGGTGTATTATTATTAAAATACTGTGATATGAAGATTATCATACTGTCATGCTCTCAGTAATTTGAGTGTTTCTATTTATAATCATTAATTTTTCATGTTATCAAGTAGAGATTCAAGCTGTTTTCACCTGTGATGACTGTGTGACAGAATTTCAGTCTCTCATTTTCACATATCAAATACACCTCGGAGAAGGTTCTATTCTAAAGAATATAATGCTGCAGTTCTATATGTCATGTATTCGGTGAATATAAATGAAAGAGGAAATCCCTGAGAGAAAATGTACTTTAAAAGCTAAAATGAGCTCATTAAACTTCTGTAAGCAAGACACCAGAATCCTACCTTCTGAATAAGTGAAGACACTGATTGACCAATAATCTCCTGAAAAGCTCACCAAAAATGGCTTGCAGCAGAGTTCAGGACAGTTCCCTGCTGGCAATTTCATGGCAACAACAAATATTTTGCTTTAGGATAGTGGATTTTGTGCTTTATAGCTGCTGCATCTCCAAGAATGGCTTTTGCTTTCTGAGAAGATACTGGTAAGTAGTTAATGCATGTTCTGACATTTGACAAGCTTTAAAGGCTGCATGTGCCACACCCTGGAGCAAAGCAATTGACTGACTCCCTTGGTATCTTCGTCTTAAATAAACACTTAAAAATCACAATTCCCGTTGGACCAAATGCCAGCAGTAGCAGGTAAAAAGAAGGTGACATATTCACTTTCATGTAACGCTTTTTAGTTTAGTACTTGCAACCCTTTAAAAATCCTTTTACAAATTACAATGGATTTATCAAGGAAAAATAACCACTTCAAATGCAAGAGAGTGTTGCTGAGAAATTACCTGGGGAAAAAGCTGATGAATAGCATAAGAAACCGTGGAAATACAGACTGCAATAGAAATAACTAGGGAAGATCAACATTAAAGTATGAGCAAAATTTGGTAGTATTGTTTGGCCTCATAATTCCCTTCCACAAAAGGGCTTTCAGAGTAGAGTGAAATGAAGGTGGCCCACAGGGAGATAAAATATTTCTTTTCCTTTTTGATGAAATCAGAATTAGGCTCTCAGACTTGTTTTCACATAAGAGTCTTCCTACTGTGATTAATCTGCACTTTCTCCAGGAAGGTAATTAAAACAATCCCACTTCTACAAAAGACGTTCAAAAACCATCTGATGGCTTAACAAGTACTAGTCCCACTGAAAGGCACCACCACTTAGGAGACTCTCAGGAAATGCTACTCCTACCCTTTATGATCTGGGAATTTGCTGCTTTGCCATGACTTGAGCAGCAGCTGAATTTCTCCCTCTGAACTCCAGAGGGTTTTATTACATACAAGAACATTCTACCCCCCGCATGTTTGGTCTGATTGGCAGCACTTTCCTAATTAAAAGATAATCACAATATTTCAGAAAGGATTAAGACAAAAATCAGTTCATGAAATACCCCATGCACCACTCTACTTCAAACAATCCACGTGGTATTGAAGGATGAAGCCCAGGCCCAGCACCGTGGGGCTCATGTGAGGGCTAATGAGGCTCTTGGCCTGTAGGCCGGGTATCATCTAGGCATTCTTTAATACTGTTGTGACTGGTGACCTTGCTATTGCACCATGGTTTAGTTAGACGTGATTCATTTCATATAACCCTTATTATTCTAAATTAGATCAGCTTGCTGTGAATGAGCAATTTCTTTCTTTCAATTAGAATATTAAATCATTCTTCTTCCTTTCTAATGTTTTGCATAACGTCAGCTAGACAGGGCGCTATCATGTGCTACACAGCGAGAGGTTTGTGCTAGCACATTTCTGCTGTTTGTATTGCTGTTACCACATGCTGTCCTCAAAAATAAAATTTAAAGAAGGGGATCTATGTGCTAAAACACAGATTTCAAAGTACAGGCAGATTCCAAGATGTAACTAGAAATAAATTATTTTAGGACATTTAACTGGAAGCATATTAAAAACGTCAGGATCAACAGCCTACAGAAGCAATTGACTTTTGTGCTTTGAAGGGTTTGGGGTTTGTTTGTTTGAAGGGTTTATTTTCCACTTGGCTAAAAATGATGGTGATGACTTGGGGGACAGGTTAGATAATTTATTTTCAGTTAGCACATATCCATGAATCAAGTATCACACAAGGCCACATAAGGTTAACAGTAGGAAGAGGTACAATTTGTCACAGTCACCTCAGATTAACGAGGTAGTCACTGGGCTGGCAAAAACATTGGCAAGTGGAAGACCCAGGGGAAAGAACAGGAGTGGGAAGAGATGGGATCTCACTCTCACAGTTCCCTGTGCACAAAATAAGAGTTTATCTCCCCCTTCAAGCACCACTGCAGCACTGGACTACACATGGCTTTAGAATAACAGGTTAAAAGTGAATCTGGTTTTAAAAGAATTAAAAATATTCAAGTATTGAATAAGCAAATGTCACAATCAACTAGAAAAAGACATGTAGGATTTTCATTGTCCATGACATAATTTCAGTCTAAGGCTGAAACAACAAAAAGCTCTCCTAGGTGGATCCAATCTCCAAGGACCAGAATTTTGGACAATTTTATGCACTGAGATGATATTAAACAACAGGAAGCTTTTATAGGTATCTAAACTGTCCATAAAAGAAGAGTTATTTTCATAGGTAGCAACTCCTTCAGAGTGTTCCAAAGATGGGAAAAAAGTCAAGGAAGTAAGAAAAAGCTTTAAGGATTAAATTGTGTAAAAAATCTTGAGAATTTTAAATTAACTGAAGTGCAATGGAACAATCTGATCTTTAAGCAGTGTCAGTATCAATAAGCATTTTTCATTTCACAGAAATGTATTCAAGGCCACTGTGGTCTTTGTTTTGTATGAATGTGAGTGGTTTACAAAGTCAACACCAGGAAATCTGAGGAGTTTTCTCCTGAATGTAACAGAGACAAGAAAATAGAGCCATGAATCAAATCTTTGCCATTTAATATTTCATAGCTGTTGTTATATTGTACACTGCTCACCATGAACTTCTAGATAATTTTACATGGAAAAAAGAGTTCAGAAAATTTTCAGCCTATTAAAGAATCAATGGCAGAGAACTCCATGTTTTTTCAAGGAATGTTTTGACCATGGCTCCATGAATGGTTCCAGTCATTTACTGCATAAACAAATTATTTAGTTGAAATAGGCAAAGACATTTGGCAAAAAAATCCTGTAAATCAGAAAGTCTTATGCCAGCACACAAGTTAGAGGTTTTCCAAATCCTCAAAAGTTAAACCACTTGTGTATTAAGAACCTAATCCATGTTTCCCTAGTAGACCAAGGAGTTTTACAGAACAACTGATTTGTTTGGACAAATAAGCCTTGGACAAGCTTTTGTGTTTGAGGGGTAAGTGCATCAGATGAGGTAAGTGCATAACTCCTCCTCAAGAAATTCCTATAAACGTTTTCCTAAGCTGTGAGCTTTCCCATTTCTCTCCTATCCGGAACAAACTCCTGGCTGCAGTCCCAGGTGTAACATCAGTGAACAAGGATCAGTTTTAACAAGGAACTCTTCCTTACGTTAGAAAGGACAGGATAATGACAACAGTT